TAAGTTAGGAGATTTCATTTTGCCATTTTGTTGAGTTTATTCTACAATCCCATTTTTGGATTTGTTGATACCAATTATCGAACATAGGGTTTAGTTAGGGATTAGTGTTGGGTTAGGGTCCTCAAGCTTTTTCAGATGTCCAGTTCTGGAGCCTTACGTTCTCTCCTCCCTCAGATGACTGATGGCGGAGCCTGCAATTCTCTTCTGCACATGAAAACTCATGAGAGGCTAGAGTTGGGTTCTTGTTCCTCCGATAATCAAGTCAGTGTTTGAGCTTGAGCAGGGAAATATAAGATAAGTGATAAGATAAGAGAGTGACCTCGAGCCAAAGAAGTCACCTCATGCAGCGTATGTAGCAACCACTGTTGGATTTACCTTGTATGTTTTCAATCCGTATTTGGTCCATAGATGCTTTATGTCGTTTTGAAAACTTGACCTATAAACTTCTATTTATTTCTGGACATCCTTCTTCCCAATGTTGGTTTTGGGCCTATTATCGAAAAATTGTTTTATTTCCTTTGGACTCACATCTAAATTTTCTCATTCTTTTCTTAGATGATGTTACCTTAAGGTCCGCAAACATTATTAGGGATAAAATGTTTCTTTCACATATTTGTCATGTTAATTAATTAAGGCCGAAACGTCAAAGACACATATTATGTCATGAATTTAATTTCAGACAAAGATCTGTACATTTTAAATCCTTAAGGTACCGTTTGGCAAAGGGTTAAGAGAGGGATTAAGGAGACTTAACCCCTTCTTAACCTGCCAAACACAATAAATCTATATAAGGGTTAAAGTGAGTTAACCCTCCATAATTTGCCAAACATAAAAAATATAGAAGGGTTAAGTTAACCCCTCTAGAGGGGTTAAAATGAGTTAACCCCTCAAAATGAGGGGTTTACTAATACTCCTATTTAGATGGAATAAGAGTTAACCCTTCTAATTATAAAGAAAATAGTCAAAATCATTGTTATTCCCAAACACTAAAACTGATCATAAGGGCTAAAATAAAACTTATTTAACAGGTTAATAATTTAGTCATTCGGATTATCAAATGGGCTAAGTATATTAATTCTTCTCTTTAACCCCTCTTCATTAACCCTTTGCCAAACGGGGCCTAACCTCTTAACCAAACATCCCTATTCTTAAGAAATTAATCCCAACAACTTTCTTGTTTCTCTCCCTATTTGCACTACCTCCTCAAATCGCTCTATTCTTTTCGTTATTTATTCATCTGGTAAAAAAAGATGAGAACAAAAGTTTTTTTTGGCTCAGCAGCACGATGGAAAGAAAAGGAAATTCGTCTATAGGGATTTGATCAAGGAAATTCGTCTATAGGGATTTGATCTTAATTGGATCAAATTGCAGGCAAGTGTTCATTTCTTCCCTGCTTGGTGTTGTTTACTCTTCCCTTATTTTAATCTTACTTTCCTTATGATTCTTTCACTCGAAAATTCTTGTAAGTGTCTGATCTGAAATTTCTATTTGTTGTCTTAGTCTTGTTCTTGCATGACTGAAAAACAAACAACCAAATCTATTTTCCCCTAAACATACATCTATAGGTAATTCGACTTAATGACTATAATGATTTGATTGCACTTCTAGTTTTTTCATTAATCTTTATATTGGGTCATTAGTTGTGAGAGAGAAACGAGTCATACATAAGCCAAAAGACTTTTGTTCACTTAAAAAAAGTTTGATGGCAAGAGCTGTAAATAGATTGATGGCAAGAGTTGTAAATAAATTAAAGATTGGGTCCAATTTTGTAGTCCCTTTGTTTCTTTTTCCTATACAACTATTGGTTTTGTCCATGCACAAAAGACTGGTATTATTGGTATAAGTTTCTTATATAAATTTCTATAATGTTCTCTGTAAGTCCTATAGACACATGATAGTGTAGTACAATTTATGTAAAACTATTGATTATTATGAAATTTATAGGTTATTAAATCAAAATAATGGGTTTGATTTACTTTAAATGGATTTACATAGAATATTATAAGTAAAAAAAGGGGCCCTTCCTTATATAACCATTTTATTTTCATAAATCCAATCGTTTTCTTAAAGAGTAAGTATTTTCTAGAAATTTATTCAAATACACGATTTGATTCTTTTTCAGCCAATAAACTTTTGACCAATAAACCAAATTTTGTCCTAACCTCTAAGATACTTGTTTTTAATCTCTTTTAATTTGTTTTGAAATATAGTGCTTTTAAATTGTGATTACGTTAGACTCGCTTAATTATTTTTTTCAAATTTGAAGTTCTTGAATATGTTCTAAGACCAGTCGAGGACATGTTTGTATTGGACACAACGTCTGGATGGGTTAGATTGTCACAATTAATGTGGTATCCTTTTCATGTCAAATAGTTTGGCATGTACACTGAGTATGAGACTCTTGCTTAATCACTTAGTGACAACAAAAGATTTTTCTGACTAAAACCACTAGTGGAAAATCATGTATCGCTGACGGGCATTCCCGTCAGCGATGCCCCAATTCCCGTCAGCGATAAGTATCGCTGACGGCGTCCCGTCAAGGATACGCCGTCAGCGATAGTCCCATCAGGAAAGGACTATCGCTGACGGGGGGCCGTCTAGAGAAACATCGCTGACGGGATTCCCGTCAGCGATACTTATCGCTGACGGGGACCCGTCAGCGATGTTTCTCCATCGCTGACGGGGATCCCCGTCAGCGATACTTATCGCTGACGGGGACCCGTCAGCGATGTTTGTAATATCGCTGACGGGCTTCCCGTCAGCGATAAGTATCGCTGACGGGGAACTCGTCAGCTATGTTATGTACATCGCTGACGGGCTTCCCGTCAGCGATACCTATCGCTGACGGGAAGCCCGTCAGCGATAAGTATCAGCAGCTAAAAAAAATCTGGTGATATATACTCAGTTCCCTGTACATATATATATTCCCTGTACATACAAATCTCCAAACGACATTTCACACGCATTCCAAAACATCTCGTAATGAATACAATCCAAATTTTCCCAATTAAACCTCTCATCCAATCAATTTTCACAAACAATCGAAATATATACATTCACTTTTCACGATAAGTTCCAAATCCACAATAATAATTTTCACAACAAACAATACACACATATCATAAGTTCTAAATCCACAATATACAAACACGAGTATCATAATCTCAACTATAAAGATGTCCACAATATACAAACACGAGTATTATAAATCCATGTCATCGTCCGTGTTGCCACTGGCGGATCCATCCCTACGACTCGTGCTCCCAATAGTATCATCTCCAATCTAACAACAAAATAATTTAAATTTAGAATCACATAATATTGTGTGTAATCATGTTTTACAAATATAATAAGTATACCTGTCTGCTACTCTC